CGTTACTACTAATTATATATTATTATAATAGTTTAATTTTTTAAAAATTCAGAATGTGTATGGTAATAGCAAATTCATAATCGATGTAATCTATCTATTATAAGCTTTATATATATTTTCAAGCGAGTATTATAAAGTATAGAGATACTATATTAACTCCGATAGTCTCCGACTTCTTAAAACGTCTCAAGTTTCGATAATATAAGTTGAAAGCACAATTGTATATTGATATCGTCTAACTATACGAGTATGTTGTTTTAAGGTTTCGAGTAAGTGGAGGATGGGATGGATATTGATTGGGTTTTTATAATGTGTTGTGAATACTTGGGATGGAAATTTGGTAAGGTTGAAGGGATGGATTCTAATTTTGTGTCACAGGATCTATCTTTATGCGATCTATTGTGGGTACTAAGGTTATCTCTCAAATTTTTCATTGTTGAGCTTTCTTTCTACTTTGTGATTAGGAAAGTTTAACAAAAATTCATGAAAGTTGGGCAGATAACTATCGCTGAGTGCCTATGAGGAATCTAAGATTGTATACAATCGATTTTTGAAAAGATATTCACGAGTCTTTTCACAAACTGAGACTCATGACAGGTTAAGATTGTTAGTGGCTGGTTACTTTAAGCCAATGAGAAAGTTGTGAAAGCTGTTGCAGACCTCCAATTGAAATAGTTTTCTTTGCAAGGGTAGGAACTGAGATGAGGATTATGCAGTGCTACAGTGCTACCGCCGCGAGACCGAAAGTTTAGGGCTCGTAACAGACCTCGGCTACGTCAAGGATTTATTTGAGTGTAGTAAAGGGAAAGCCCTCAACCCCCTTCACGACGCAATCTCCAAAATGCTTGATCCATTCTACTCTGCGCCAGAAGTCATCGTTGTGAACGTGAAAGCCTTTACCGATTTTCTGGATTTGCAGAGCTTACCTTTCCATCTACATGAAATTATCATCGCATTTTGTTTCTACACTATCATTGACATCTATGTCTCACATATCGTCTCATCTCGACTTTTTCCAAATAGATATCTATCACTTTCCCGCAGAAATAAGATCAGCTGGAACATTCATTTCGTCTCTTTTGTTCAGTCGACTGTAATTTGTACATTGGCGTTGTGTGTACTTTGGACAGATGAAGAACGATGGAATATGGACTGGACAGGAAGAATATGGGGATACACCGGAGCTGGAGGGCTTGTTCAAGCTTTTGCTATGGGATCCTTTTTGTGGGATTTGATGGTTAGTGTTGTTCATCTAGATGTTCTTGGATGGAGCTCCTTGATACATGCAATTTGTGCGCTTGCGGTGGTTAGCATTGGTTTTGTGAGTTCTTCATTTCTTGTTTCCCTATCTAAACACGCGTCAAATATCAGCACCGAAATACATCATGCTAATACATGGAATTCATAGAGGCCATTTGCGAATTACTATGGTCTAAACTTCGTACTCTACGAACTTTCCACTCCATTCCTCAATATCCACTGGTTCTTCGATAAATTGAAAATGACGGGATCCAAAGCACAATTTTATAACGGCATCATTCTTCTCTCCACATTCTTCTCATGTTGTCTTGTATGGGGTGTCTATCAATCCGCAAGACTGTACCAAGATATATGGAAAGTTTTCCATACTCTTAGCGCTGCAAGGTCTATCCCGGATTTTGGAATTCAAGGGGAGTCTGAATGGGAGATTTTTCTATTTTCCAGGGGGTCTAAAGAGTTGATGTTGCCGATATGGTTGGCTTGGGGTTACTTGGGTGCAAACACTATATTAACGCTGTTAAATTTCTTTTGGTTTAAACAGATGATCTTGGCGGTGTCTAAAAGATTTTCGACAAAGAATAAAATCACACATGCAAATAAGGCAGAGTAGGATCTCTCATATATCACTCATTACATGTCTGTCGTATTGGTGAAGTATTACAAGCAGACATGTTAGATCGGGAAATATAGAGTTATAAATTGGGATGATTTCTTTGGTACTCTTCTACGAATCAAGCATTCTAAAGCAGGATGGTAGCCTTCAATATCCTAAATCAAGCTGGTCCCTTGGTAGTAAATGAGGTTTGCATGGGACGCGATAGAATTAGTTGATATTCGCGTCTAAGTAGATGAAAGGTGTTTCGGAACTGGATGCCAGTAGAGAATTTACTCTCAAGGTACTCATAGTCACCTAAGAATAAATAACAAAATATGATCGTAGTCTCGTATGAACATATTCTAACCCTCACCTCTATGAAAGCCAATTCACCATTGCTCGTTATAGACACCAGTCTAAAAGCCTCAATTTATACTTCTAAGCCGATCCCAACCATATACATACTCAATCTCTCTTCTTCGACTCATCTCGGCTCCAGCCAATTCTCCCAATTCTCAACCTCCCAAAAACCCCTCCAACTCCACCAGTCTTCCGCATTCGAATTCAGCCCCTATAGCTTAGCAGGTCTCTTTTCCGGTCTAGTCATAACGGGAATGAAAAAATTCACTATTTTTGGCTGTACCTTTGTCCCATTGCGGTCTTATTAGTGGGTAGTGGTAGGTGGTGAGGTAATGGAGAATATAACATCTAGGTACATCTACTCGAGAATTTCCTGTATATCCTTCAAACCCCTATTTTTCATTGAAATATTTCATATTTTAGCATTTTTCTCTACTATTCGTTCCCCTTAACCTCTTATTCTTTCTTACCTTAAGCATTAATAATGCATAAATCTTGAAAGTTCCGAGTCCTTCCATGATCTCTTGAGAATACCGGGATGTCTGCTATCATGTCCACTGATCTGACTACTCATGTACATATACGCACACAGAGGTTTTACCCAGTCTCCTTTGAGTTTCGTGGGCATCATTATGGAGCGGGGTTTATGCCACCATAGCATATAGATAATGAAGGTACAGAGAACATGGCCTAGTGTATTAACTTCCAGGAGAGTTACCGGGAGGTCACTGACAAGTCGTCCAATAACTTGTACTAACATCCATCCAGCCTGGAGAATAACTAGGAGTTTTGCCATGGTATCTGCTTTGCTCTTGTCCACGATCTCGCGTTTACTTATGTCCGGTAGGTAACCACATTCTGCTAGCAGACTGACACCGCGAGCGGAAAGCGTTAGGCGCTGATAATTGGGGATGAATGGCGGAGTATTATCTTCGGAGTTTTCGAAATCGAAAACAAATCCACCCATACCAGCATAAAAGCCATGAACAATAGTCCATGGTGAAGCGAAATCTCGTGCTTCAACTCTGGTTGCTGGAATTTCGAACTAAAAATCGTTAGTAATCTAAGCACTCTCCGAAGGAGAAAATGATCCTTTTCCGACGGAGCTCTTTAAATTTCGAACTGTTATGGAAAATTGGAAGATGCTCCAAAGTGAGAAGAAAGAGTGCAGCAATTACCTCTGAGAATACCGTTGGGGACTATCTACTCGGATCAGATTGCTTAACTGAAGTAATCCTGTCTTTTACCAATACTTGTAAAGCCGTTGCAGAATTATACTGCCTCCAAGCCGCAAACACCACCAACTCCGGAGCAAAAATTCCTACAATGCCCCATTTAATGCCTCTAATAAACTCTTGTGTTATAAATAAAAATACAAGTAGTGGAAAATAACATTGCAATAGGGATTATCCCATATGGAGGAATAGCGAGTAAGGGCTAATTTGATTGTCATTTTCTATCCTTTCCTGCTCTTTTATCTAGCTCTTATTATAAAGATGGATTCTGTAAAGGTTAGAACTGTTTACCCTTTGGTTATTGAATTCAAACTAAATAAAACAAATTGAAAACCTTTAAATGGAACTTTTAGAAGTTGAAACCCCTTGAGATAGTACAAGTATATCATAAGCGAAAGTGGGGACAGCTTCAAAAAGAAGGTGGAAATAGTTTCAAATCTTATTTGAAAGTACTCAGGCTTGAAAGCCTATAGAGGCCTATAAGAATCACGGAATAAAGAATTGAAGACAGCTTTTATCTATCTCTGTGCTTTTTGATTCATCTTTTTTTTCTATTATATAAAAAAGGAGAATTGAATCAAAAGATACTCTGAAACCGAAACCTTTGTTTGCTCCATTATGATCTGACAGCTTCAAAGTCAGGAACAAAGAACGGAACTTTATGATCAAAGTTAGCCCTAAGACTTGTGTAGCTGTATTTACTTCGCCTTAATCGAATACCAGATTCAAAACTAGTTTCTTTATACTCGAGTATATTAAATACAAGTGTACAAAGAGATCTCAATATATAGATGAAACATAGACCTTTTTAGAGTAGTGGTATGCAGGGCTGGTCGAAAAGGGGTACGTAGGATTGGAATTTCTGGCGCCATACATGTGATTCACCCTTAAAGAACTGATATTTTCATTTCATATCGTACTATTGTCGCCTCAGAGATGACATCAAGATCAACCAAGCATCCTGAGAAAAAAGGTCTAAACAACAACAACCTTTTCAGCACTCAATCAAATGATAGCCGCAATTCAAAACTGCGAGATGGAGGAAAATTAAACAAAGTTCCTCCAGCAAATCATCTACTAGAATGGGATAAAGGTAACATCTCCATCTCCATACAACTATCGTAAACTACTCGAGTACTACATCAAACACTAACACAATACAGGCCCGTCTCAAATTCCCTCCTTAAATCTCTTTCCAGTCTAGCTTACATACATAACGAATCGAGTAAATAAATCATTCCCTATCTAGGTCCAGTCCTTGCAGAAGAAAATCATAACTAACAAAAAACTAACCCATCAGTAAACATCTACTCCCACCTCTTTGGTTCCCTTCTCTTTACCACCCTTCCATTTCTTCTCTACAAACAAATTAGTCCTCGCTACACCGCTGCCTCTCTCACAGATATCATAGTATTCTCCACCTTCTTCTTCGGCGTAGCAATATGTTTCCTGCTTTCCGCTACGTAAGTCCCTAGAACTCATCTTATCCCCCTCCCCAAAAGAAATTTCTATTCCAACTACAATTAACTAAAACCGTACAGTTTCCACATCGTAGCAAACCATAGCAAGAAGATTCATACACTGGGGAATTAACTTGATTACCTAGGCGTAGTGATTTTGATGTGGGGTTCGACAATTCCAACTGTTTATTATGGGTTTTATTGTAATCCAGCTCTTCAAGTGGTATATTGGAGTATGGTACTGACCCCTGCCCCCCCCCACCTTCCCCCTCATCCTCCCGCATAAATAGACACAAATGCCTAACAACAAACTACAGATATCCATCCTAGCAATCACATGTACAATCACAACTCTGCATCCCTCATTCCGAAGACCAAGCCTAAGACCTTACAGAGCAATCATGTATAGTTGTCTCGGACTTTCCTCTATTGTTTTCATCATCCATGGGCTTGTATTGTATGGATATAAGATGCAGAAGTGGAGAATGAGTTTAGATTGGATGGGGGTTATGGGGGGACTTAATTTATTGGGAGCGTTAGTTTATGCTGTTAGGGTGAGTTCTTGGTTTCTTCTCTTTCCTCACTTCATCCAAATCATCTAACTTACCTAACTCATCTAATTCACTACACATCTTCAACTCCTCATCCAAAGATCCAAATTCCTCAACATCTACAATTTTTCACAAAACAAATCTAACATCATCCACAGATCCCAGAAAAATGGTTCCCATATCGCCACGATATCATAGGATCCAGTCGTCAAATTCTCCATTTCATGGTTATTTTTGCGGGGTTGGCACATATGGCTGGGCTTTTGAGGGCTTTTGATCATATACATGGGGAAGGATCCCATTGTGATTGATTCTCTCAGGCTAGCTACATTACTAGGCATAACTATTTTATTGGACGGTTTTTAGGGGGGTTAGCGAGGGTTGGCGAGGGTTGGAAAAGGTTTATAGGGCTTCAAGTTTATAAGGTTTTGCAAGAAGGAATTCAGGTTTTAGATTTCAGATTTAGACGTTAGATTTAGATGTTTCTGGATTCTTGTTTGGTATGATTTTGATAGTATATTCATAGATACATGACTACTCTTTCATTTATAAGATCTATAGTCTCAAAACTCCTTCTCCTTCCTCTCTTATAATATAGAATAATATAACATCTCCTAAGAATCCGCTCTAACTCTAGTTTAAAACAATAACATCTCATATATCTCGTTTATTATATCTATATTCTTACAAACTATTTAACTATATAATTTAATATTATATCTATTCAAGTTGTATTGCTAGTAACTTGAACTAATTAGAAAGAAAATATCCTACTCGAGTATAATGGAAAATTTTGTGACCAGAAGGGTATAAACAGGACTCCGATTGTGTACTTAGAATCTACAAGTGAAGAGCTATGTAGGGTGCTAAAAGGAGGACTATATATACGGGTTTTGGGAGCCCTAATGGCTAGGCCCATAGGAATAAAAGGAGAGCTAGAGATAAGTATTGTATAATACCTAGATCTAAAGCTATAGAACTAGAATTCTAAGCTAAGAAAGGAAGATCTAAAACAATCGTCTTATTATACTACATAAGGTGTATGAGTTAGTGGACGGAAGAGAGCCGTCTGTTCCATCACATTACTATATATAGATATGATAACTTTAAAGACTAAATTTAAAAGAATGAAAGAAGAAAACAGAAATAAGTATTATACAATGTCTAGATCTAAAAGATTTATCTTATTATATTATATATGTTCCGGGCCATAGCTCAATATCCCCATTGTGAAATGCCCTACG